GGTACCTGTGCTCTGGGGAGGTGACAGGTGACAGTGCCTGCTGTCTGAGGAGGTGCCAGGAGCCCACGGTGTGTCTGATCCCCCCCACAGGGGTGTTCCCTCGTGCCTCTCCCCCAGCCAGCACAAGGTTTCTCTCCCGTGGCTTTGCTGACCTTGGGGTTTTTCCATCTGCTTACGTTTCCACTTCTGGAAAAGGTTTAGTTTTCTCCCCCTTCGCAAGTTTTGTTGAATTCTCTCCTGGATTTTTCAGCTTTGATTGCCTTTTCGTTCCCTCTCTGCTCCGGGAACTGTGTCACGAGCCCTGGGTTAAGATTTTGGTCGCAGGATAATTTGGGTTAATATTAAAATCGAATGCTTTAAACCTCTGAGCGCCTGCATTTTTGTTGGCTTAATTGACTCTGGTTAAATATAATTTAGATGTAATTACAATAAGAAAAATATCCTCTGCCATCCTTTCAGAATGAGAATTGGCTTCAATAGCCGGGTTTTTTTTTGGGGGGGGGGGGAATTGCTGGAGGAAGATCTTTGATCCACGTTCGCTGAAAGAGAGGGGAGGCTGCACCCAGGGCAGCTTTGTCAGCTCGTGGATCCCAGCGAGTGTTCCCAACCTTTGTCACTCTGTAAAGCTTTAACCTCGTCATGAAAGTTCCCGATAGCAGCAGCTGGGAGGATCGTGCTGCAGCCAATCCCACAGCCCAGGGCTCTGGAGCCTCAGTTAAACAAGCAAGGGGGGAGATTTTGGCCTTCTCCTCTGAAGAGCCGCTCCTGGGGCTCGGCACAGCGAACTCCCCAAAAGCTGATGTGAATTTAGGGGACTTTTTACCCTCTCCAGGCCGTGGGGTTTTGCTGCAGAGCTGTGTTCCGCCTCGCTGAGGGTTTCCAGCCCAGGGGAAGTGGCTCTCTCTCTGTTCCAGGTGTGAGTCCCAGCCATTGTTCAAGGGCCACCCATCCCCTTACCAGCCCAAATCTGTTTGGTTTCTGAGCCCTTCTCACCTGAGATCTCAGAGCTCTTGTGGTACCACCTGTGCCTTTGGTCTTGCTAAGGTGAGGAGCATCATCTGCCACACCCTGAGCTGCTTTTAGTCCTGATCACCTCCAGGGGTGCAGTAACTGCCTCCAAAAGTGTTTTGGTTTCACTTTATCACAGCTATTCCTTCAGTTTGCTCTCAGGCTGAGCTCAGTGCTTCCCTCAGAGATGGAGGTAGTGAGGCAGAAGTTTATTTTTAGGGAAGAATGAATCATCTCCTGGTTGTGTCTTGTCTCATTTTGCTTTGATGAAAAGTAAAGTCAAAGAACTGGGGGGACCTGCTGGGTCTGAGTCCACGTGGATGGGTGATGCTGTGTCCCAGGAGGGCCCAGCAGCTGAGCAGGGTGGATTGTGGAGGTGCTGAGCTGCAGGGACAGAGCCTGGGGGTGCAGCAGGTTCCTGGGACTTCCCTCTCAGGTTGTTTTGTTGGAGAACTGCTCTGAGGGGAGGACTGTTGCTGTGTGAATTCGTTGTGTGTTGAGGGGTTTGAGTCTCAGAGCTTTGCAGGAGTCGAGGCCCTTGTTTTGCTTCTCTCATGGTTGTCTTGAACCTCCCCTGTGCCTGGAGGCTTCTTGTTACCGGCCTGGGGCTTGTCCTTGCAGCCAACAGCTTTGGCACGAGGTGTGACCTTGGCAGAGGAATTATCTCTAAAGCTATTGCAACTGCTTCCTTATCCTTGTGCTTTGTGTTTGAGGCCTGGTAGGGAGCCACTCCTTAACTTCAGAACCCAGGAGGCCAGGAGTTGCTTATCTGGGGGTTTGTGGATATGAGCTGGATTAATGGCTTTCACCTTTTAAAGTCCAGCAGGAGTCAAGTGGAGCATCCTGCAGTGGCTGGAGGAGCTGTGTTAGTGGCTTGTGGGGTGTTTGGATGTCCTGGGGGGAGAATTCCAGCAAAAGGGCGGTTTTGTTGTCTGCATGGAAGGAGCCAAAGCCACTGCCACGTTCCTCCCGTGTGCTGGATTGTTGGGCTCCTCACCCAGTGCCCGTGAGCAACTCTGGGAAAGGGACCTTGGAGGGCTCCACCTTGTGCTGTGGGAGGGGGAGCGCCTCTCTGTGTCAGCTTCCAGGCTGGAATCCAACAGTTCCTCTTGTCTGTCCCATTTCCAACCCTCTCCCTCTGATCCTGGTCCCTCTTGCCCAGTCCCAAGGCGAGAAGATCCCATTTTCCCCCCCAGCAGGCTGGGATGGTGCGTAAGTTTGTCTTGGCGCTTCCGAATCTCCTTGGCTGCAAGTTCAGGGAAATGATTTGTGTCCGTTGACGTGTGCGAGGTGTAGGTAATTCCTTGGGGGAACGGGGCAGGGCCCAGGTAAGTTCAGGAGGAATCCCTGGCACAGCTCAGGTGATGCTTGGTTGGTAGAGATGTCACTAATTCCTTGAGTTATACAGTTTCTGCTCCTTGACATATGTTTTTTTACCTTCCTTTCTAGGAAGGGGTCTGGAGGAGGGAAAATTTCCCTTTCTGGTGAAAGGGGACTGGAGCATTATGACAGTCAAGTCTTTAAAAGCTTATGAGTTCCCAGAGTCCTGGCCGGTAGCCGCTGCCTCCGCTGATGTTGTCGGATGTCAATAGAGAGAGGTTGAAGGCAACACTTCTAATGGAGGTAGAAACGAAATACTTGGAAAATACCAAGGATTTTCCTCTTTTGATTAATGAAAAAAAAAAAAAATCACATAGGTGCTTTAATAGCTGGGTAGACAAACTTGAGATGTGGAACTCTAGAGACAATCACTAAATTCTCCTGTATTTGTCTGGCTTGGCTTCTGGGTGGGGCCCGCCCAGCTTGTTTTCACCCACAGGGGTGTTCTGGTCTCTCCAGCAGGTGACATCGAAGGGGGCTGGCTTGAACCCCAACGCCAAAGTGTGGCAAGAAGTCCCCCAGGGGAGCGGTGAGGCCGTGCCCCCCTCCAATGGCACCACCGAGCACACGTGGCAGGAGACGGCGGCGGCCCCGGGGACTCCGGCCGAGGGTGAGATGTTGGGACCGTTCCCGTGCTGGGGGACACTCGGGGCGCGTTCAGCCTCCCTGGCTCTTGTCCTGGAGGTTCTCAGTGCTGCAGTGAATTTGAGGAGGCAGCAGGGAGTTTATAGAGGTGACGGGGGGTTTGGTTTGGGGGGTCCAGGTGGTGTCAGAGCTCCACTGGGACGGGACACTTGGGCAGGGATCAGGGTCCAGGGGGCCCAGTGATGACCATGTAACGCGCTAAGAGGGAGCAAGGGCGCCAGATGTGTGGAAATGTCGCTGCACTTCGGCACCCAGGGACCCTGTGAACGTGAAAATGAGGTCTGAGGGCCACCTGCAGTCCTGGGGAGCACCGAGTGGGGTGCTGAGAGCTGCTTGTGCTGCAGTTCAGAGTGGCCAGTGTCCACGGTTTGCTGCCCTCCCTTCAGCCTCTTCCATCTCAGCTGCTTCCATCCTGACCACGCGGGCAGTGTCACCCACAGCTGAGCGTTCAGATGGCTCTGGTTCGGCTCAGACTCCACCCCAGGGGTAGCTGAGGTGACACAAAAGCGCCTCAGAGGAGACAGAAGAGTCCCTGCAAAACAGTTCAGTCAAAGTTAGGGATAAAGAAGGGAGGATTCAGCTGGTGTGGCCCTGTCAAAGGTTTCTGGTAAGTCAGCAGAAGTGAGGAGCGAGTGCTGGGTTTGTGCTTTGCCCGACAGAAGCTCGTTTGTCTCTTCATGACAAAGTGAAGCAATCCTGGCAGTGTAAGCGATTTTTCGCCCCTTGTTTTTAGGAACCTTGCTTAAATATTTTGAATTTCACGTAGAAAGACTGGTTTTTAGATCATCTCCCACTCTGGGGATCAGTGTCAGGATCCTTTATTTACTTCTGTTTACTTATCCCCGAGAGCCTGGTGCAAACCAGAAGGCCTTTCTGAAACTGGGGAACTAGAAAGTCCTCTCCAAGGCAGAGTCTGAGAAATACAGACTGACTTCAGACGCTCTCAGTTGCAGCAGGTTTTGGGTATTTGTTTTAATGTTGGTAGCCGAGTTTTTTCCCGTGGGGAGTCTCCTGGAGCTCACAGGGGTTTCCCTGCTGCCGCTGTGTCCCTCTGGCAGGTACCATAGAGCTCTCAGAGGACAGCTGCAAGCAGTATGAAGTGATGTATTCCCCGTCCTGCGAGGCCACCAGGAACGGCACAGGAGCTGACGAAGCCTCGGCGAACGGGATTGTCCTGGCGACCGAAGACCTGGGATACCAAATCTACGAAGTGTCTGGTGAGTGCTCGAGTTGAGCCGCTGCTGTCGGTGTCTGTAAACCCCCTGGAGCTCGCTGCAGCTGGGATGTGACCGAGGAGGAATCCTGGCACGGCCGTGGGTGCCCAGGAGGCTCCAGCACTCGGCCTGAGCAGGCGCACGCGGTGGGGTCAGAGCCGTGTTGAGAGCTTGAGCACCTCAGATGGGCTTTTCCTCCTGGTCCTGCCCAGAGGGATTCATCCTTTTCCTGGACAGTGAGACGTGTCCTTGCCTTGTGTGGATGTGGAACTGGGATCTGACGGGGGGGGTGTGGTCCCTTCCAGGTGACGGCCCCTCCGCCGTGTCCACAGAGGACATCAGGGAATGCTTGAGGAAACAACTTGAATTCTGCTTCTCCCGGTAGGTGCAGGGTGGTATAAACCCTTTACTCAAATGATCTGCTGGGATCTGTTCCGGGAGGCAGAGTTTGAGGGTGTTTTGGCTGTGAGTGGAGTTGGGGAGTGTTCAAGCCTGCAGTGATCCTGGTTTTTTGAGTCTTCTGGGAGTCAAGTTCAGGGTTTTCATGAAATCACCGTTTTGTGTCTTTTTTAGTGAGAATCTTTCCAAGGATCTCTACTTGATGTCCCAGATGGACAGCGATCAGTTTGTTCCAATATGGACAATTGCCAACATGGAAGGGATTAAGAAGCTGACAACGGACATGGACCTTATTCTTGAAGTTTTGAGGTGTAAGTCTGGTGTTTTGGGTGTCTGCATCAGCAGGACAAAGAATCCTGCTGGGCTTCAGGGAGATGGTTCAGTCTCTGAGCTGGTTGTGCTGGAACAGGGTGACAGGACCCTCACTCTGCAGACGTGGCTGAGTAAGAGGCTGTTCCAGACTCCTGAATTCCCCTCCTTTGTTACAAGTTCCATAGCAGAGCCTGTTCCTGCCGAGACGTGCGCGGTGTCCCACTTTTCCCTTTGAATTTTCAGCTTCTCCTATGGTACAAGTGGATGAGAGAGGGGAGAAAGTCAGACCAAACCACAAGCGGTGCATTATCATTCTCCGTGAGATCCCTGAGACAACACCCATAGAGGTAAACACGGGGAGAGGAGGGGAAATGAAGCTTGGTGTTTCTGAGAGGTGTCTTCAAAAACAGGGCTTCAAACAGCACCAGGAAGAGGTCAGCTGGTGTTTCATGTGATTAAACAGGGATATTTTTCTTGTGAACCACATCAGTCATTTTTTTTCCGCCCGGGTGCGTTGTCAAAACGGCCAAAACAAAAACTTATTGCCATTGTGCCTTCCCAATATTTACTACTATATTTAAACCTTCTTAAGTAAACTCCTTTTTTTTTTTTTTTCTTTTTTCACCAAAGCTGAGCTAGCCTGGCTTTTCTGGAAGGAAGTTTGAACTGGTTTCTTTTCCAGATCCAAAAATAAATCAGTCCAGGGCACAGCTTGGAATTCAGGCTGAATTTTTGTCACAGCAGTAACTTTACTTGAAGTCAGACGGTTGTTTTGGCAGCAAGAAATGTTGCTAAACATTTCTCATTCATTGTGCCCCAGCGTGAGCTGAGCTCATTATGTTCAGAGGAGGGAGGATAATAAAATTCCTCCTGATACTTGGCGAACAGAATGATTTAGCTCTTTGTTTTTTTTTAAAGTTGTAACACAGGGTGTTTGTCTACCAGCATTTTTAATGAGTTCTTTTAATGCAAACACCGAACAGCTGCTTGTCCCCCTCTTTCCAATCTGATTATTGCAAAGATATTAAAAAAAAAACAAAAAACAAACTGTCAGGTTGCCTTGACTTGACAAGAATGGAATCATTCTTGTCTCCGTGACTCTCCTGATTTTAAGCCACATTGTCTCTTATGGAAATATCACCAGTTCTACACAGGTCTTGATTTTCTTGCCATCTGTTCCTGCTGTGTTTTACCTGTGGACCTCAGGAGGCCTGGGGTAGGATTTGTGGGTTGAGATGCTGTGGTGCCTGGGAAGCCTCTCAGGGGAATGAAAGAACATCCCCGGTGACGGGAGGGAGGAGCTGCAGGGTGAACTCGGCGTCTCCTCGGTGCTCACGGCACAACTCAGGTGCCCTGAACTGCCCCGGGTTTGTCTCTCCAGGAGGTGAAGGCCCTGTTTAAGAACGAGAACTGCCCCAAGGTGATCAGCTGTGAGTTTGCCCACAACAACAACTGGTACGTCACATTCCAGTCCGACACCGACGCGCAGCAGGTGAGGCCTCCTCCAGCCCCAGCATCCCAGTGCTTAATCCTTCCCCTGCTCAAGCACGTGTGCTTCCTGTAGCTGAGAGAAGTATTTATGTACTGATTCCCCCTTTTGTTGTTCTAAGAGATTGCTGGCAAATTCTGATCAATAAGGCTGAAGTTGAGGGGTTATTCCCTTGTCTTGCCTCAGCGCTCAGTGACCCACAGCTGGCACTGGAACCCTGAGCTCGAAGTGCTAATGAATTTATCTGAACTAACAGGGAAGCGCATTGCTGCACGTTTGTGTTAAATCATGGGAAGTAAAATTTTATCAAGATATTCTAATATTGATTTTTTTTTTTTTTTTTTTTTTGTATCTGCAGGCGTTTAAATACCTAAGGGAAGAAGTGAAAACCTTTCAGGGCAAGCCAGTAATGGTGAGGCTGCTTTATTTAGCTGGGGTTTCTGTTGGAATTGTGTTGTTTCTGTTTGGATGCTGGGGACCGTTTTTTGGGGGGGCAGTGGGATCAAGGAATTAGCAGTGGGCTGGCCCTTAACTCTTGCTCTGAAGGCTGGAAACATGAATGAGGTCATGGGTAGCTCTGACAGATCACAGTTCAGTGGCTGCTGGTTACTCACAGCGCTGCTCCCAGGGGGGCTGAAACACATTCCTCTTCCGTCTTCCCTTCTCCACTTTGCCCAGAATCTGGGTCTGCAGAGCTCAGGAGAGAGGGATTCCTGCCCCTGTGAGCCTTGAGCTGGCTGCCAGCACAAGAGCAGGCTGGAGCAGAGCTGTCTGTGCTCTGAGAGGAGCTGCCACCACTGGAGTCTGGACAGCCCTTGCTGCACTTTTATCTCCAGCTCGGCAGATTTTATGGTTGAAGCACCGTGTGTCTGTGTGAGGGTGTGATCCGGGGCTGACTTCTACCAGTTTTCAGTCAGGAGCACCAACCAGCCTTCCCATCCCTGCTGTTTCAGCTCAGTGGGCAGGAAAGGCTCCGTGCTGTGCCTCTCTGGGCTGACCAGGGCCGTGCTGTGCTGTCTTGCAGGCCAGGATCAAAGCCATCAACACGTTCTTCGCCAAGAACGGTTACCGGGTGGTGGACTCCAGCGTGTACCCCCAGCCCGTGCAGACCCAGGCCCAGTTTGCCTCCCCACTGTTCATGCAGCCTGTATATAGCCCTCAGCAGTACTCCATCTACAGCATCGTGCCTCAGACCTGGTCTCCAAATCCTGCACCTTACTTTGAGACACCACTGGTGAGTCGAGCAGGGGAGCAGCCCGGGGAAGGGGTTGGTTCATCATCAGGAGGCTGAGGGGGGGTTGTTCCAGCTGCAGAGTGCCCAGGTTTTCTCGTCAGACCTCTCTCTTTTATGGCATTTTGTGTTATGGACCTGATAAAGCAAGGCAGGCTCCCAGTCTGCCATTTATTTATTTCTGGGGGTTCCGGTGTGAAATTCTGTTTTCCAGCGCCTGGTGCTGCTGGAAGAGTCTGTAGTTTCCCAGGAGTGGGGGAACTCTGCTGAAGCAGGTGCAGGCTGTTGACCAGGGGGGGTTTGGTTTGTCTGGAGCGGCGAGTTCACACCACAGGAGATGCTGCAGCAGCCCGGTGTGAAATCACAACCTGCTGGAGCTCCTCCTAAACCTGCAAACGTTCTCCTTCGCAGCTCAGCCACTGAGAGTGTTCTGTCTTCTGTTGCAGGCCCCCTTTCCCAATGGTGGATTTGTGAATGGCTTTAACACACCAGGATCATATAAAACAAATGCTGCTTCCCTGAGTATAGGTCGCCCATTCCATAGGAATCGGTAAGACAGCTCTTGGAAAACTTACACTGCTGACGTCCTCAGGTGTTCCTTGTGCGTCACATGCAGGGCTTGCTTTTGGGACCAGGCTGTTGATTTCATTTATCAAACGCGTGTCACGTTTTTTCGACTTGATTGGAAAAAAAAATCAAAGTGGCAGCTTAAAATCCTTTAAAAAAAAAAAAAAATTAAAATAATGGACACATGTGCTGGAGAGAGCAAAGGTAACTCCTTTAAAAGCCTCAGAGGAATTTCTGCAGACAAATAAATAACTTCCTCTTAAGTTAATACTTGTAATTATGTTTGTTCTACGCAGATTATGAACTCCAGCAGCACTAACATAAGCCCTTCCTGCTGGGATCAGCCTTGCAGAGCCCTTGGGTTCCTGCAGCGGGAGTTGCACGCCCTGAGCTCTGCTGTCTGTTCCTGTAATTTATTTGCTTTATCCCCATCTTTCCTAAGAGCTGTGAGAGCTCAGCTCGGATATAAACACCGGGGAGGAGGAAACACTTTGTCTTGCTGGAGTGCTCTGGGAACACAATGGAGCAGTAACCTGGGGGTGGGAATTGTTTGTGTGGCAGCTCGGAGAGGGGCCACGGGAATTGCTTCTCGTGGTGTTGGAGGAATCAGTTGACAGCTGCCAGGGCTGTGAGTGGGTCTGTGGTGCAGCCCAGGTCGGGGGCTCTTGGCAGAAGGGGAACTTCAGGAGTTGCCCCACAGTGACTCAGCAGAGTCCTCACTGTGGGACTGGGAGGGTGACTCCTCTTGCTCCAGTTGCAGCTGCTCAGTTCCCATCTTAACAAAGCTGGTTTGGCTCTTTTTTTCTTTTTTTTTTTTTTTTTACCTTAAGTTGGACCCAAACTGTAAAACTCAGTAGCAGCTTCAGGGTGGGACTGTGCAGGTTCTGGCCCAGTGATGATCAAGTATCGCGCTAAGAGAGAACAGGTCACGGTCGGGCTCTGGGCAGCCTTTGCTCCTGCTCTTCCTTCCTCTGCTCTTCCTTCCTCCTGCTCTCTCCACATCATCTCTCCTTCTCTCTGCCTTTTTTTTTTTTTCCTTTTTTCCCCCCTCCTTTATCTTTCCTCATCTTTCCTGCTTTGCTCTTCTGCCCAGACAAGACTGCGGCCTTCTCGATGACGGGTAAGATTATGAGATCTGAGGGCTGGACAAGCACTTGAGGATCTGCCATTTTGAGAGCAACTTGAGCAAAATGGAAGGATTCAGTTAACTTCCCTCCTCCTCCTCCTCCTCTTCTTCATGGGCTCTGCTGATGAAAAACTTGAACTTTATTGGGGGCCCTTAAAAGTGGTTCTTGGTGCTTCTCAAAGCTGGGAAATGTGAATTGATCCCTGGTCTGCAGAAGAGCTCGCTCAGAGGGGTTCATTCAGCTGCTGCTTTGGGGTTTCTGTGCTGGCCCATTGAGCCTGATTTGTCTCGTCCTGCAGGCAGTTAATAGTTAAGTGTTGGGTTTTTCTCCATAGCTAAACATTTGTTTAAGCCACTTGTATTTATTTTGCCCTGATTTGTTGCAACATCACGGTGGGAAGGGGAGATGGAGGAGTCAGGCTTGGACTGGCAATAGGAGAGTTTCTTCTGATTGCACAGAATGTTATAGTGAGACTGTTTAAAAACAATAAGTGTGCAAAATCCTCCTGCTGTCCTTAAATTAGGAGATGTGCAGAGTTGACCAGAGGGGAGAGAGAGGCAGTTTGAGTTCTTTGTCTCTGTTTCTGCAGCTGGTTGGTGCTGCTGGAAAAGGCAGGAGTGGAAAACAGTCCCAGGGACCCAAATGCTGCCCCAGAATACTGTTCCATGTCGTGCTGGGGCAGAGTTTTTTGGGGGAATTGTGCCTTTAGGACCCCGTGCCTGAACTTGGCAGCAGCACTGAGCGTGCAAAGCTGTGTCTGTGCTCGAGGGAGCTGCAGCTTTAATGCTGAATAATCAATAACAGGGCGAAATGTCTGGGGATTGGGAACTGCAGAGTCAGTGCTGGGGGTTTGGGAATGGGAGCAGCAGGGCTGCTGCCTGGAGGGGGGCTCAGCTGCCCTGGCCTGATCTCCCATCTGCTCCTGCCCTCACCTCTCAGTTCAGTTTGTTCACCTGTGGCCAGATCTGTTCCTTGGGCTCAGCTAATTTCTCCAGGCCCCTTTCCAATGCCCTGTGCCTGTGCTGCAGGCCCAGACAAAGCAAAAATCCCTCTTTGGGTTTGGATTTGGTGGGTTCCCCCCAACGATCTCAATATTTCCTGTAAATGGCAACATTGGAGAGGAGGCTGCAGGAAAACCACAGCAGGAGGAATAGATGGAGGTGGGGAAAGCAAATACCTTTGTTCCTCATGAATGTACATAGGAAAGAACTTCTGAGCTGTGGTCCTTCCTGACCCTCTTGGCCCCGAGGTGAGCTCAGCTGGTCAGAGCAGGGCGCCCATAACACCAAGGCTGAGCCATCGACCCCGGCGTGGGCCCCTTCCCGCTCAGAACGTGCCGTGTTTGTGGCCTGGGCCGTGGGTGGGGATCTCTGTGTGGGGGGTTCTGCAGCCTGGGGGTCCCTCAGGATGTCCTGTCTCCGCAGGGTGAAGCCCCATTTCCGCTCCTCCAGCAGCTCGGAGCACGCGGAGGGGCCGCCCGCCCTCGGGGCCGTGCCCGGGGGGGACCCGGGCAGAGCCAGCTCCAGGAATTTCGTGATGGAGCGACACAGCAGCCCCTTAGCTGGGCACCAAGACCAAGGCTACTCCCAGAAGGATTCTCCCACGGCACAGCTGGAGCAGAACGGGGATTACGGCGTCGGCAGGGGCAGGTAACGAGCTGGGGCCTGTTTGGTGTCATCAACCGCGGGCACAAAACAGCATTTCTGGGAAGGCCAACCTCGAGAAAACTGGCGCTGAACTAAACCCAGGAGGGACAGAAGCTGACCTGGGAGCAGGAATAGCTTCCTGCTTGAGTCTCCACCTGCTGTTTACTCTGGCAGTAAGATAGTGAGGGGTCTTAATTTTAAATCCACTTGTTTGTTCCCAGAATTGAAACAGTTGCTGAGGTGAAGTTGGCAACTGCGTTGCTGTAAATAATAAGCAAATCCTCGGCTGGGAATTTGATGCTCTGCAATATTTTAAGATTAGGTAGTTTTATCTTTGCTCTGTTAATTCAGGGTTTAGACGCTTATAAAGAAGTGTCCAGGGCAGATTGGCGAGAAGTCAGACTAATAAGTTGATTACTGTCCCCGTGCTGGGTGACACGATGCTCATCCCTGGGGGTGAGAGGGAGAAACTGTTCCTGTATTTGCTCTGTTCCAAGAGCGTCAGAGCCTTGACCCCTCCTGAGGATGGAATCCCAGGGCTGTGCCTGGGGGTACAGTGAATCCCCTGCCCAACTTCCCTCGTGCAGAGCCGGGTCAAGGCCCTGACTGAGGGTTTCTTGCCTTCCAAGGAGGAACGTGTTCCGAGGCCGGAGGAGACGGGATGACGACCGGGTTTCAGTGAGTTCCCCTTCCCTTATTGCAGGGGCTTGCTCAAAGGGGGCAGTGGGTTGGCTCTGCAGTTATTGAAGGAGTGGCAGAGCCCTTAAACCCTGGGATTAAATTGGGGGTTAACAGTTCTTCTGGGAGTTTCCCTGGCCACGTGCTCGGGGCTTTTCCTGCTCGGTGTCACGGCTCTGCTAACGGGTGTTTTCCCTCTCTAGAGACCTCAGCCTTCAGCAGAAACAAAGACTCAGACACCAAAGTTTGACTTGCTTGCATCAAATTTCCCACCTTTGCCTGGCAGCACAGCAAAAATCCCGGGAGAGCCTGTGCTGGAGAGCAGGATGTCCGACATCGTTAAAGGAGTCCTCAAAGAGAAGGTGCCCACTCCCCTCTCCCTCACACACACAGCAGTATCCCTGGGCTGGGCTGGGCTGGGACTCCCTTTTTCCCTGCTTTTAAAGAGTCAGTTTGTCAGAGCCACACACTGGAATGCTTTAATCCCAAGCTTCATGCTGCGTCTGATCCCAGAACAGTGCCTTTTTCCTGGCTTTTTGTGGGAATGCAGCCGAAGCTCCGGCGCTTCTGCTGCTGTAAATTGGGTGATGTTCAGGAATAAAGCAGGGAAAATGTTCAGGGAAATGAGGAGTGGTGGCTGTTGGAGTAGGAGCAGCGTGGTGGAACGTGGGCAAGGGATCTTTTCCAGATGAGTCTGTTCTCTGGGCTGGTGGGACTAAGCACTGATAATTATTGGGATGATCCAGCCCTGCTTCTCCTTTCCTGCACTGTGTGGTTTGCCCGTGGGAAGGGGGGGGTTGCTTTAGAGGGGACGCTCCCAAAGGAGCCAAATTAACACAACCAGGACTTGAGCAGGCTTTGGGAACATCCCACTTCTCAGCGTGCTGAGGAGCAGTTCAAACCCATCTGCCCTGTTTGTGCTCTGTGTCCACAGGA